CCGGGCCGGCGCCAATCGCGAGATCACCCCATTGCGATCCCACAGACCCAACGCAGGTCTGCGAAAGATGGCTGGTATCGCCGAATCCAATTGACGCCCAATGCCAGCACCCCGATTCGTCCGGTATCAGGAAACATGCGGCAGTTGTCACTATTGTGGAGATTGCGCGTTGGATGATATACATAGAGCTTGGTTGTAATAGATCCTTCGCGCAAGAATTGACATGCGGAAGGCATCTAAGCTCGGTAAAGCTTATCTAGAGATTCCCGAGGCTGGATCTATGAGGTCGTAGAGATCATGACATGTGAGCCGGTGCGGACCTGTTGAGTTGTTGCAAAATTCAGCTTTCAGACGATGTACCCTGTAATACAGTTCGTGTAGCTAGTAAGATGATGAGTACTTAATGAGTTTTGTAAGGGATATATCTATGGTAGTCTGGCTTCGGGAGCCACTCTAAAGTAGATGTGGAGAGAATTGCGTCGGGTTCGATGACTGAACAGTAACTTCTGGGCGGCGCGATATACTGCCCGTCGAACCAGAATAGGGGCTTGCTACAAGGGAGGAGTCCATTGCGATAGGCAAGGGTGAAGTTCTAGACACGTGACGTGATTGCCAAACGCGCAGCCTGCTGACCACGCGCCCCCGCGTTTTCGCGACTGCATCGCGCTTGCCATGGCCTCGACGTCGACGGCCTCGCCACCTTGACCATGCCTCCACCCCCAACAAATTGCGCCGAACACCACCTTCCCGCCATATCGAACACACCGCACGCGCCGATGTTGCTCATACGATGCCGACCCATACGCCCTCCCCGCACCGCTTCCTAGCGCCGAATCCGCCTTCAACACAGAAGGCCAAGAAACCTCAATCTGGCCTGCGCAATGCCCTCGCTATACAGACACCGGCTTCCGCAAAGAAGACTCAACCAAAGCACGAGCTGCAATTCAAGAAATTGACGCCTGCGAAGCGCTTTGTCTTTGCGCCGCCTCGGCAGACGCAAGAAGTCACCAAGGAGAGGCACGATGAGCCGCAAGAAGATGCATCCGCGCATGCTACACCACTCCCGAAGCTACGGAGGAAATTCGAGAGAGTAGAAAGTATAGAAGAACCATCGCAATCAAGCCAATCAGAGGCGCAGGATGAACTACACGGCGAACATGTTATGCAATCCATCGAAGGCGGGGACACGCAGCTTGGCCGCTGGGACAGACAAGGAGAAGACCAAGAAGACGATATGCTCTTTGAATCCGTCCAAACGAACAAGCGTCGTCGCATGTCCCCTGCAAGCTCGCCATCGCTCCAACGACCATCCGAGCCGTCCACACCGGCCCCCGTATCCAATGCGACCACGCACCGCTTCAAAGTCCCGCCGCCACGGACGCCTGCGCCATTCCCTAGCATTGCAGCGGTGACTTCCACGCCAGCGAGTGCACCGCAACGTCCCCATTTCATACTCCCCGCGCTCCCGACCTCGCCCCCGAAGCCTTCTCGACCGCTGCCTGAGATCTTCTCTCCTTCACGAAAGAACGGCAAATACATACCTAACGGTCTTGCCTCGACCGTCACAACTTGGATGATCGAGAGGGCAAATACAGGGTTCGCGGCACAGGATAGGAGTGGTGCAGCCACTAGTCGTGACAGGGAAGACGGCGTGAAGCTGCGAATACGGGTCTCGAGTCTCTCGAGAGGCGGGGGTCCAAGCCGTAGCGCAGAAGAAGTAGAGTGCTATGCAGGTGGCGTCGTCTTTGCATGCGGCGATACTGAGGGTGGCATGTATAACGCTTCGAGAACGGAGAGTGTGGATGGAGAACATACTCCGATGAGAGTCTTGCTAGCCGGCCAAGGTGGTGCTAGAAGCTCGGGAGGTGTGCTGGTAAAGACTGGGGGCGTAATCGGTATCCGCGCGCCTATGTGGGACGTGGACGTTGGCGGGGAGAAGTGGACTGTAGCCGTGGACTGGGTGCTACTTTGAACTCAAGACGCATGCTTCTTTTGCGATTATGACTGATGAACGATACCCACTTTCGCGGCGACATAGCGGATTTAAGGTCCATATATAAGTAAATCTAATATCTCTTACAGTATACGTGCGAGACAACATCCTCATTAGGCTCGTTTTCGATTTCTCACAAGAGTGGATTGGAAACTCATCACTCATGCAAAACGGAGACCGAGTCGGCGAAACGAGTATCTTCATGTCTTGCAAGCGACTTTTCCAAAAGAACACTGATAGCACTGCTTCCTAGGCTGGCTAGTGGTGCGCCTTCTCATCTCGAGTAGCGTGGGTCATGAAAGTGCGCCATGAGCGCGATGAAGAAAGAGCCAAGGCAGTGAGAGCAGGAACGTCATGATTTCCCGCACATTCTTCTCTCACAACACTCTTGGGTGAATGTCCTCCGTGTTCATAGACTTAGATGTAGTTTGCTATCTGCGGCCACATGGTTGCCTTGAGCCCACGTTGTGCTTGGTCACTCATCGTGTTAGAACCATGGTTTGCTAACCAACTTCAGCGACTCACAACACTTGGAAAGCCATTTCTTTTACAGAACAGAATATTTTCGTCATGGTAGTCTTCTTCACTTTCTCTTGTATATCCAGTCTCTCTAGTCATATTTCACTCGCCTGCAATCAACAAAATCCGTCAGTCCTCCTTCAAAAGATTCCCCTTTCGAAAGACACCGCATCAAAGCCAAAGTCATGTCTACCAACAGTACCCCATGTTGGGCCTGCGCCTATGCCGACGCGCAAGACCAAGCCGACTGTCTGGTCTGCTGTCCATCGTCTCCACCATCGCCGGCTACAACGCACTTGCCCACCCCAATCACGGCCAAACAACGCTGGTCCATGCCCACCATCAGCGCCTCAACACTAAAAAAGACATGGAAGAGCTGCGGCTCCGAACTCACACAAGAATGGCGCGAAACACTCGACTGGATGAATGTGCTCAACCCCAAAAGACTCTACACACCACTAGAGGAAGCAAAGCCGTCTTCTGAAAGGCAAAACCCTCCGACGATTGTGCTGAGTAACAGCGACTATTTCGAAAGCACACCTACTATTACGCTTACATCCGCATCACCCGCTTCGCCGCCTATAATGAATCTTACTACTTGGCACACGCTGGAGCAGAGGGTGTGGTCGAAGACGGATGTACATGTTACGACGATATCGCAGAAACATAATAAGAAGCATAAGGGAAAGAGGCGTGAGTGCGAAAAATGCAAGAGGGATCAAGAGGTGAATCGGGTATGGATGGCGGCTATGGGGATAGATGAAGAAGGAGTTCGTGGGCGTGGTGGGTGTATGTCGATTGGGAAAATGGTGAGGGATTTCTTGATCGTTAGGGGGGTGTATGGTGGTGCGGTAGCTGTGCTCAATTGAGGTGGACACGTGATGAGGGTAGTAGATCAGAGAACATGGCGCTCGCAGCTAGACTTATTTCGGCCTCGAAATGATATTATGGAATTCATCATAGGCGACTTGTTGGTAACAGCTCAATCAAGAGAAATGAAAACCCTACATCGGCTCCAAGTCCTCTGATCTCGTTCTTCTATCTCATTGTACAAAGTAGTCTTTAGAGCTGTTCAGCGCTTTCCTTAGATGAGTTGATAGGACGCTTCGAGCATCCGTCGAATGAGACTGCCTGCCAAGTAAATCCGAGAGAGAGCTTCAGATTCGTCCATTCATAGATGATCCTACTCACGTGACCAGACTCATCCTCAGGCTAGATGAATCCAGAGCTGCTTACATGAGCGCATCTGACGACATGCTCGCTTGCAGCGCGGTAATCAACTCATCTACGTTGATTGGGGCATTGAGCATTGAGCTGCGAACACGTACTGACAATAGATTCGCCCGCCATTCTGGGTAATCTACCTTACCCTTCCATCGCCTCTCATCTTTTCAGAAAGCCTCGATAACCGCTGCATAATCAATTCCACCTATCGTCGACTGGATGCACGTCACCAATGGCCTCCCTCGTAGATTGGACAGCGAGGAAGGTTAGTCGCAGCATCGCGATCTGGAGCTGCGACTAAAGTCGATGACACCGGAGGCCCCTCCATACCGCTATGCTATGCGACGGCTTCGTTGTACCAAGGGTTTTGGTGGTGGGGTCAGCAGGATGCTTCTTTGTGAATGTCCCACGTCGCCGCAGGTAGTAGTGGCAGGTACGACCAAACCCGGGTCGGCCCTCATGAATCAGTCGCTTAGTGGCTGCTTTCCGGACCCGCGGTGCCACGCCACGTCACTCAACCCATCAACACCTCACTTTTTCCTCTTAGCCATGACGACCCTATGCGTGCCCCTGCATCGCGGCCCTCTTTGGGTATCGAGAAGGTTGCAAGAAGGGCCCTCCTTGCTAATTGACGCTTTGCCGCACTATACGCTCTCAAGCCTTCCGGTGCCGCAAAATTTCGCCGTTGACCAACGCTGCACCACGATCCGCGCTGGCGACACAACTGCAAGCTAAGTCATCATCGGACCAATAATCGAAAAGCCCTCGCAGTGGAAAACCCCACCTTCTGGGCTCCCAACTCTATCAACCTGAGCGAACTGGGTTTCCCTACGTGGACCAATGATGCTTACAGCCGAGAATCGTCTTCTCAGCGTGAGCCTGCGGCAGCATGCGGGTATGCCAGTCTGAGGCTTACCGAACCATTGCGCCCACAATGCGAGGCATCTCCATACGATTTCGCGCATCATGTCTTGTGACAGTTGTCCTGCACCTCTCTTTCGTCTGATCTGAGCGCTCGTCCCAGCTTTGGCCGATTGAAGCCACGCACGTTGCACACCTCCACCCTCTGTGCTTGCGTCTAGACTGACCCGTTTCTCATTCGTCTCTCCGCAATCAATGCTCGCACCCCACGTCTAATGTCGCCTCTGCATACCTACCGTTTGTTATCACCAGCAATGGAACAAAGAAAACATCTATAGCACGTAGCACAACTTATCGAATTTCTGGACCTCGAAACACCGCGCCTGACTTTGTTTGATACACTATGCGCCAATTCGAGAATGTTTCCATATCGCAATGGGCGAACCCGTATGCGAGCGGCGGCACCAACACCGGGAAGAACTTCTATGCTACAGCGACTACACCGAAGCCCCAACAACCCGTCTATCGTCGAGTAGTCCCACCTACACCAGTATTCTCATATACGCAAGTAGTTGATGAGAAGAGCAGCAATGCCGAACAAGCAGGTATGCTTGGAATGTATCATGCGTAACATGTCCAATTGACCATTGTAGATCCAGAGAATGTTCCGGCTGCTCCAGCTGCTCCGGAGGAAACGCCAGCAGCAGAGGTCACACCTGAAGAAGCCGCACCACCGGCTACATCAGAAGCACCTCCGGCAGAAGAGCCATCAGCGGAAGTAGAAGCACCTGCGGCAATAACCCCAGCAGAACCAACACCAGAAGATCCATCAACCCAGCCAGCAGAGGCACCATCAAGTAGTGGGGACGACGTTGTGGCAGCTGAAGTTGTGACCGAGGATGTCAAAGACGAGCCTCCAGGACCGAGCGATGCCGCGAATGTTGACGTACTGCCGCCTCCACCACCACCCCCAGCACCGGTAGAGGCACCACCTGCAGAACCCGAAGCAGCAGCACCTCCAGCACCGTCAGCACCAGAAGTTCTGCCAGTACCTCCCAGTGAGCCTGCACCCCCTATACCCCCTGCCCCACCAGCGCCACCGGCGGATGCAACACCGGAGCCAGTAGTCGTAGAGAGTGAGAAAAGTGGTGAGTCCGAGCAGGCCGCTCAAGAGCCTCCGAAATCCCCAACCGAGAAGTTTGTCCATTTTGCCTCTGACACCAAAGACCCAGACGCCGCAAGCATAGGCAAAAGGAAGAAACAGTGGGGGAATGGTAAAGGCAAGCCCACCGCGTTCATCCGCCCCAGAAAGCCATCGACATCCATTCCACCTCCTTCGCCACCGAAAGAGGAGAAGAAGAAGGTCTTCGTTCCGATCGGCATTATCAAGAAGGAGCGAAGGGGTTCATTGCTCTCGGCATTGGCCAGTGAGAAGGTGATGACCAGCAAGTCAAGAGGGAAGAAGTCTAGCAACGATGGCAGCGGTGACGACAGGTCGACAGTAATCACCGATGGAGATGCCCCCTCTTCAGACGTCTCCGAAAGCGTCATCATCGAGGAACCTACCGAAGACGCTTCAGGGTCGATCGTAAGCGAGACCGTACCGCCCCCGCCGCCACCGACCGATGATCCACCTGCGGTAGACGAGGCCGCTGTCAGCGAGGATGTAGTGGAGGAACAAGACGAGGCAGTCGTGGACAGTCCTCCGATCGAGGAGCCAGCTCCCGCCGCTCCCGAGCCAGCAGCTGAAGCTGAGCCATCACCGGTAGATGCGTCTGCGGAATCTGCTGAGCCACCACAATCCGACAATCCTGCTCCTGTCGAAGAAGCTCCAGCTGCTGATACCACAGCAGAGGAGACTACTCCAGCCGATCCAGTCACAGAAGACACTCCTCCCCCTCCAGTCGAGCCGACCGCAGAAACAGCTTCAGAAGCTCCTGCCCCAGAACCGCCCGCGGAATCTCCAGCCGATGAACCACAGCCATCGAGCGAAGAGGTACCAGAGCAGGAACAAGCTACGGCAGAAAGTGCGGATGCGGTTGAGGCCGACGCAGCACCTTCAGAGGAGGCAAAGCCAGTTGAGGCAGACGCCCCTGTCGAAGAAACAGCAGCTCCTGTGGAAGAGCCTTCTGTTGCGGAAGAGGAAGCAGCACCGCCGGCAGCCGAAGAGGAACCTGCTGTTGAGGAAGCTGGTAGCTCAGAAGAGCCGCCGGCAGCCGTGGAGGATTCTCCTGCTGTTGAAGAACCAGTTTCTACTGCTGAAGAGCCAGTCCCCGCTTCTGGAGAGACGCCTGCTGTCGAAGAGGCACCTGCCGTCGAAGAGGCATCTGCCGTCGAAGAGACTCCGGCCGAAGAGGTAACTCCTGCCGAGGAGGCAGCTCCTGCTGAAGAGGCACCTGCTGTCGAAGAAGCGCCTGCTGTCGAAGAAGCGCCTGCTGTCGAAGAAGCGCCTGCTGTCGAAGAAGCGCCTGCTGTCGAAGAAGCGCCTGCTGTCGAAGAGGCACCTCCTCTTGAGGAACAACCGGCCGTTGTGGATGCAGAAACACCCGCTGCTGAAGACACCCCTGCTGCTGAAGAGTCACCCACTGCTGAAGAGACACCCGCTGCTGAAGAGACACCCGCTGCTGATGATGCTCCAGCCGTGGAAGACGCAGTTGATGCCGAGCCTGCACCCCCTGCTGAAGAGACAGCTGCGCCTGAGGAAGCACCTTCCACCGAAGAGACAGCTAGCGCCACCCAAGAAGCTCCCGAAGTTGACGCCACGCCCGAGGCACCCGCCACCGAGGAGACAGCGCCATCTGAAGGCGTCCCAGCCGCCGAAGATACGCCTGTTGGTGAAGATACATCGACTGTCGGGGATTCTTCTCCTGTCGAAGAAGCACCAGAGACAGAGGATACACCTGTTACCGAGGAGCCCGCCCAGGTTGAGGCTGCACCCGTTGTCGACGAAACGCCATCTACCGAGGAACCGCCTATCGTCGAAGACGTCTCTACTGCCGAGGAGCCAGCTCCGCCGGTAGAACCGCCAGTTGATGAACAAACACCCGTGGTCGAGGGAACCCCAGCTGTCGAGCCTGTTCCTACTGAAGTTGCTGAGGATGCCGCCGAACCAGAGTCAGAAGCAAGCGTTGCTCAAGAAGAACCATCACCGGATGAGAAGCAAGACATCGAAACGTCTAGTCCCGAAGTCGAGGAAGCTCGAGCATGGACTTCAGCAGCGCCGGCAGACGTCGCTGTCGTGGCTTCAATACTTGCAGCTGAGGCAAAGGCCAATGCAGCTGCAGAAGAGGCTGATGCACCTGAGTTCTCACCTGTTCAAGATCCTGCTCCGGAGTCTTCTGATACTGCAGAAGCTGCGGATTCTGCGCCAGTCCCATCTAGCGACTCACCGCCAACCGAGAGCGAAGATAAGCCTGTAGTTGCAGATGTCAAATCGCCTGAAAGTACTGAGCCGGTCGTGGATGTAGCTGAGCCAAACGAGGCTAGCGCTGATCCCACAGGTAAGTTCACTCATGTCTTACTGTCGCACAGCGAGCCGCGTTCAAGCAAATTCATTTGTAGTCAATGCTGACAAGATCACAGATGAGCCCCAAGCTGACTCGACAGCGGAAGCCTCAGAAGCAACGGACGCACCCGAACCAGCTCCCGCCGACGAAGCTATCGAGCCAGCCGCCGGTGAATGTGACAGTGAGCCGACAGCTGCACAAGACGAGACCATCCCCTCCACCGAGGAGCTAGAAGCTGCGTCGACACCAGAAGAGACAGACACACAAACGACGGAAGTCACGCCTGATGTAACACCAGAGGAGCCTACTGCATCGGCACAAGACACTGCTGATATGGCACCCATCGAAGTTGCTACAATGGAAGCCGAGGCGAGCGACGAAGAACTGCCAACCGCCGACACCATGCAGGACATCTCCGATTGGGAGAAAGACGACGACGATGTTTCCGACATGGGAATCTCGGACTGGGAGAAGGATGACGATGCCTCTTCACAGCCCGGCGAGAGCGAGACCAACCCTTCCGAGCATCAAGACTTCGATCAAGAGAGTATCGCACACGACTCATCGGAGCCTGTACATGAGGATGAGAAGTCACCAGACCAGGACAAGCCCGAGACTGAACAGGTCGTTCAGCCGTCTGACACCGCAACCTCTGCTCCGGTTGCCGATAGCGTCGATGAAGTTGCCGTCGTCTCAGTCGATGTCAACGAGGATGAGCCTACAAAGGACGATACGTCCGCGGCCGTACCAGAGGTCGTCGAACAGAACGATGCCTCAACCTCTGAAACATCGCCAGAACCATCCGAGCCACAAGAGACTGGCGACTCAGCTGATGCTTCCGCGGACGATCAGACGCTTGAGACACGTATTGATGAAAGCACTGAAGAGGCACAGCTTGCAGCTGGCGATGCACCTGCAGCTCAAGAACCCGCCCCGGAGGTGAGCCAGCCAGCAGCTCCAGAGGAGAATACCATCACCGATGCGAGCACAGACGCACAAGACGATGCGAGTGCACACGAATCGCCAGTCGACGAGTCGGAGCCGGCGGTGAGTAGCGAGGCTGCCAAGGACAGCGAGCAAGTCATAGTCTCGGCTACACCCGATGACGTGGAGAATCCAGATTCATGCACAGGTACGTATCTCCTATGTTTTTTGTGTTTCACATCTTTATGTCCGTCTGCACTTCTTTTCGCTGGCTCAATTACGCATGATTCGACAATAGCGCGCCATGCCAGCGGCGGATCGGGCTAGCGAGCAGCGGTTGGCTTGCCCCATTGGACGCCCCATATTTTCCTTTGGCCCACCTGCCAGCACATTCTGCGGACATTCTGCCACCGCTGCGACTAGCTTATCGTCACGTGGAAGCATGTGTGTCGCCATGAGTCTCGGGCTGCGATAGATGCATCGCAATTTGTCGACGTTCCAAGATGCGTGGTTTTGCTCCGCGCTAGCTCTGCCGCTTGTCTTTTGGCTCCCGACATCCCCGTCACCTCTGAATCTCACCTTCTTTTTTTTCGTGATTGCACTTCTACTTGTACAGCAGCGATAATTTCCTCCACCCAAAAGTGGCCATGCACCGCATCCGCTGACCAGTGCAGCTGAGACTGAAGCACCTTTACCCAAACTCGACGACAATACCGACGAAACATGCGCAAGCATCCCAGCTGACGCGACAAGCGAAGTCAGCCCAGACCCTGTCTCGAGAGAGGCTGACATTGAGACGCCAATTGAAAACCCCACGGTCGAAGAAAAGCAGACCGAATACGCCGCGGGCGATCCAGTTGTTCTTCAAGATATTTCCGAACAAATCGACCATGATGTTGTAGCTGCCAACGTTGCGCTAGCTGAAGCCGAGCCCGACTCTGCACCAGACATGCCGGCCAAAAAGGTGCCGCAAGTGGTATGTATAAGCTGTGATTGATTCCGAACCTACATCTGCCTCATGCCGATCGCCATTCAGAAAAGTATACTGATTCATTGCAGGTCCATGAGGACGTAGGGCCCGATGAGGAGCCACAGCATTCGGAGGTTTCCAGCGGTGCCAACACAGGACCGGAGCCAGATGATGAACCAGTAGAAGAGCAGGGATCCGATGCGGGGAGCGAATCTGGGTCGGAGTCCGAGGATGATGACTGGTCTGGATCTGAGGTGTCTGCCGCACCCGCTGCCTCTGAAGTTCCCCAGGCCGACGACGCGCCTGACTCAGCAACCGCTGAAGATGAAACAACGAATGCCGAAGAGGTACCGCCGAGTGATGTCGCTGATGTCACTGCTGCTGAGCCTGAAGAGCCGGAGGAACATCACTCAATCCTAGACGACGATGCCGGTTCCGACGACGATGCTGCTTCGGGGCTCTCTTCGAATTCTCAAGAAGAGCCAGAGAGCTCCATGGTAGCGGACGATGCTGCCGAGCCCGACGAGCCAGAAGCTTCCGAGAGTCCGGAGTCACCTGCCGAATCGGCCGCGATCACAGAGGCGCATCCAGGTCTATCACTCGAAGTCAATGTCGCAACGTCTGAGATCGTGCCGGCTGCAGAGTCTCCAGCATCAGAGGTCGAAGATTCGTCTGATCCTGCGCTCGAAGCAGTCGAGGAGGAGCAAGGAGATGACGAGAACGATGTCAGTGCTATCACTCAAGAAGACTCTGCGAACGACGATTCACTAGTTTCGTCACAAGATTCTGCTGAGCCTGAAGAAGAGACCGCAGCAGCTACCGAGGTGTCGGAGCCGGCGGATGCATCCCAACCAGAAGAGGAAGTCCCCCAGGAAGACGAGGGTGACGATGCTTCTCAGGTCAGCGAATCTGGCAGCGAGAGTGAGGCTGGAGAGTCCGTTGCACCGCCGGAGGACCCTGCTGAGGCCGATGACGACGCTGCGCCGACCACAGTTGATGGGGAGGAGCTAGACACCGCTGCACCGCTTACCGAAGACCCATCGACCGACGGGATCGAGAACCAGGCATCCGAAGTGGGAGATGCATCTGTGGTCGAGCAAGAGACGGAAGAGCCTGCTGAATCAGAGACGCCTGAGTCAGTCGCAGCAGAACCGGAACCGGAAGCAGAAGCGGAAGCTGTTGAGCAAGACGCGGATGCAGCTGCAGATGAGCCAGAGGAACCACCGGCTGAGGAGACTGCGGACCCCGAAGAACCGGTGGCGACGCCGGATGGAGCAGCCGATGAGGGCCCTGATGCGGCTCAGGAAGACGAATCTGCTGCGGCTGATGCCGACCCTTCACTTGTTGCAGAGGCGGAAGAGATCGAGCCTGCACCACCTGCTGAAGAGTCACCAGAGCCACCTAGTGAGGATAGCCAATCGAACGACGGATCTGGGGCCACCGGAGAAGCAGATGAGCCATCAGTGGTTGAAGCCAGCGAAGCGAATGACGACGGTGCTGAAGATGCTCCACCTGCGTCAGAGCCAGTCCCCGAAGAGGACGCACCGCCTGAAGAGGCTGCTGTGGAGGTGGAAGAAGCGCCTGCTGAAGCCGCCGAGCCTGTGGTAGAGGGCGGTGATGTTGAAGAAGCCGCGGCAGACGAAGCCCCGGAGGAAGCAACGAATGAAGAGGAGCCGGCATCGTCGCCTGATGTCGAGCTCGAGGAAGAACAGGTACAAGCACCACCGGAAGCCCCCGAGGAAGAACAGCCAGAACCCGAATCACCAGCTGCTGTCGATGAGCCCGAGCCGCCGACTGAACCCGTTTCTGAAGAACCGGAAGTACCAGCTGAGGCGACCCCAGAACCAACGCAGGAACCCGAGGAACCCGCTTCAGTAGCGGCGGATGCACCCGCTGATGAAATCCCCGAAGACCAGGATGTCGAGGAGTCGGTACCAGCCCCCGAAGTGGAGGCAGAAGAGGTCGTAGCCGAGGTGCCCAATGAAGAGAGTCCCGAACCCCAGCAGGCCGAGGACGATGCACCGGCAGACCGGTCCCTCGAAGTTGACGAAGTTCCAAGCACACCTTCGCCTCTACCCTCTGTAGCTGCTGTTGCTGCTGCTGGGATTACTGGTGCCGCCGCTGCTGCATTAGTCGCTCATACCGTTGATGACCGTGCGGACAGGGAGCGCGACTTTGCAGTTGAGGACGAAACGTCAGCCGATACACCCAGTCGTGAGAAGACCCGTCGCCGACATTCGCACACCCGTCGTGAAAGCCAGCACCGGCCAAGCCGCAGACGCGAAAGTGGCGCTAGCATTATGGACCGACCAATAATGCCAGCCTCTGCCGTTCCTGATGCGCCAAGAACAAGGCGTCGCGATAGCATGACAGAGCGCGAAGCGGCCGAGCGCAGAAGGGCCAAATTGCGCGAGGTTGAGATAGCCAGTAGTGGTAGCGACATACAGAAGGCGTACCCGGATCCGTACCGCTCGCACTACCGAGAACCCAGGGGTGAGGAGAGATACAGCAAGCGACGCCCCGTCGAGGAGGTTGACGAAGAAGCCGACAGACAGAAGCGACGCGAAGCCCGGAGGGCCGAGAGAGCTGAGAAGGAGCGACTTGCCGCCGCAGACGCTGCCCGCCTGAAGGCAGAAGAGGAGGCGAGAAAGCTGGAGCATCGGGAACGACGCCGAGCAGTCAGGCGTGCCGAAGAAGAGCTCATGAGGGCCATGGAGGAACGCAAGAAGCTCAAAGAAGAGCAAAAGCTCGCCCAGGAAGAAGAGGAGCGACGCATACGACACGAGAAGAGGAGACAACGACATGAGGCTGAAAAGGAAGCGAAGCGCCTGGAACAGGAGAAGATTGAGCAGGCGGCGCGCGAAGAAGAAGAAGCTAGGAAACTACGACGTCAGAGGAGGGCGGAGCGAGAAGCAGCCAAAGCAGCTGCCTTGCTGCAACCAAAGGAAGAGCTCATTGATGTTTCTCGCGATGCTGCTCGCCGAGCAGCAGAGGAAGACGATGATGGCGCTTCTCCTCCACCCCCGCTACCACCAGTAGTCGACGACACCCCGCCTCGTAGTGCGCCGCGCAGGCGTTTGAGTACCCGAGAGACCCCACCGAACGTGAAGCGTGGTAGTCTCTTCGGTGGCATCTTTGGCCGCTCAAAGCCCGAAGCGACACCACCGGCTGCGAAACCTTCAAGATCGTCTCGTGCCCGTGCCAACACGCTAGAGGCTACACCTGTCAAGTCATCGCGAAGAGAACCGGAGATGGAACGACCTTCGAGCCGAGATATGTCATCGGACCAGAGCCGTGAACGTCCAGAACGCATGCGCCGGAGTCGACGTCTTTCACACAGTCAACGCCGCTTTGCCTCTGCTGAGGAGGAGGCCGATTACTACAGGTGGAAAGAGGAGCGACGTTTCATGCGTCGTCCTGAACACGAGATGTCTGGTGGACGGGATGGAGGGGTTTCTCTTCCACCGCCACCTCCGCCGCCTGAGGATCTCCCGCCGCCGCCACCAGAGCCTTTCGAATACGAGCCAGAGCCGGAACCCATCGAGACAATTGAATCACCGGTAATCGAGGACGCAGCTGCGGTTGTCGGCGAGGTCTCCATCTCAGACGAGGAAAGACGCGAGCGTCGTCGAAGCAGGCGTATGTCCAAACCGGAAGAACGTCCCAAGACACGCCGTATCTCCGTTGTTGAGAAAGAACGGCCATCTGGTGGTCGTCGAGTGGAGTCGGATCGGCCCCGCGCACGAGACCATGGTGAAGACCGTCCCAGGCCCAGGCGCGGCGAGACCGACCGACGCGACAGGAGGAAGAAGAAAGAAGAGTCCAGTGGTCTCAAAGGACTCTTCGGAGGGTTGAAGAGGCGAATCACTTGAGTTTGGAGTATAACAGAAACACACATCTACATTTGGGAAGGGGGTTCCACACGGACTACACTGGCGTTTTGGCTTGGTCGAATTGTTCTATACCACTGACGGATCTCCTACTACATTTTAATCACTAAGGTGTTTGGCGTTGGGGTTCAGCATAAGATGGATGGGTGGGCATCTGTAATTGTATGGCTCTATGTTCTTGTTTCTTTAGATTGGTGATGAGGGCTCGCGAGAGTCAGGTAGCATATAGCAGCTGCTTCGGCGGTGACACGATACGAATGATGATTCATTTTGTACGAGATTGGAACTTTGCAATGCCGATGTGTGTGCTACGTCGTGTTATAGGGGAGTGGTTCTTGGTAGAGCTACGTAGGAAGGCACATGTCTAGTTGACGCTTATGGCCTAGAACCTGTTCCGGCAGTCGCAATAGGTAGTTCCCCTCACCATCTCGATCGGAGAGCTCGGAACCGAAAATGAGGGGATCGCAATCCATACAACAGCGTTGTCATGGGTATGGATCAGCGTTCAAGGGTGCAAACCCCTTGCTCATTCGATTGCGCAGAGCGATGGCCTAAGCTTCCGTCTCACATAAGGTAGCGTCCCTCGGTGCCCAATCTGAGCGCCAACGCCTTTCTCCCACCTAGACGATAGATCAATAGTGGCCTTCATATACCCATCGAAATACCGAGAGCGCCATGGAATCTGCAGCGCCAGCAAAGCGACAATGGAAGGGCCGCACTGACGAGCAGAAAGCCGAGCGAGCCCGAAAGCGCCAACAACAAAAGTCCGGGCTCAATGCGCGAGGATCACGTACATCGACTGGCAAGAAGCCAACGAAAGTGCAGCGCGTGTTCAACAAACTTGATGAATGGAATCCAGAAGAACTGACTTTGGACCAGACTTCGCGGTGCAAGAGTAGGTGAACGCATCCCCGGACCTTACGGGTGGGGCTAACTCACGTGACAGCGCGCATCTTGACGCGATTGCTACAGCCGACGAAGCTTTTCGTACGAAATTGGAGAAAATAGGCTTGGGCGCGCGCCTTGGTAAAACGAACATGCCCATCACCGACGATGCGGTGATGCGACTCGCACGCGCCTGCCCAAACCTCAAGACACTTCGGCTTGATTCGGCTCTTCTCATCACAGGAACGTGCATCCCACCCATTCTCACAGCATGCCCAAACATCACTTCGCTCTGCATCACCGGCCACAACGGCCGCACAGGAAGCTTAAACCTAGACAATCTCAAGCCCATGGCCGACGACCCCGCCATCTCCATCAGCGCGCCGAAACTCAAAACCCTAGACTTGCGCCGCGCGATCAACGCTGCACAGGAAGAAGTCTACTACGATGTTCTGAGAGCGATCAGAAGACCGGAGGGTCGGAAGAACAAACTGGAGGTGCTGTTCCAGCATCCGACTTATCATTGGGAGAAGGGCTACAAGAATGGCAGGGAGAAGCAGCCGAGAATGACCCAAGCGATGAAGGCTCAGGAGATGCTTGAGGAGGCGATGTGGGCGGTGAAATGTAATAGGGGGTTTGATATAGATGATGACGATGATGGGTACGGGACTGATTATAGTGCGATAAGTGCGATTATTCATGGGGCGATGTAGGAGTGTTGTGAGGTGGTGTAGTTGACCTCAGGATCATTTGGTGAAGAAAAGCATGTAATTAATGAATATTCATGATCTAAATATTATCGTAGATATGGCACCTATCCTGTATTTACTGGAAGTCTCAGTGTACGGACTGCAAGCTCAAAGCCCTTGCCTTTGGCCTAGCAGGATAGCATCAGTCTGCGAGATGGTCTAATCATAGGCTACGACAACGTTCGGCATGATCATATGACCCAGTCCAACCCTCATCTTCCATATCCTCGTTGCAGCCCACGTTTGCTTAGAGCAGCTCTCGCGCGTAGTCCCCGCATCCCAAGGCATCCAGTCTTCTTCTGCATCTTTCTTGACCTCAATAGTCCAAGACACAGCTCCGTGATAATCCACGGTGATATTAACAATCGCATCTTGAGTGTAATCGCGCCAAGCCTGCGTGCGACTGAGAAAGAGGATATTCGTGATGAGGCAACTGAAATCGAAGTGTGCACCGCTTGTAATATAGGCTGGAAGATCAAATCCAATACACGTTTGAGGAGCAGTCGTAGCGCGAACAACAGCGGATCTAGCGGCGTTTTGGAAGCGAACCAGTGGCATGGGGTCGAAGGTGCAGTATAACCTTGGAACCTCAATTTCCAGTTTATTCCACCATGCTTCTGGCTTTGGTACCAGGTCTGCGATGAACCTGTTGACAATACGAAGGTCCACCTCGATCTCAGTGTCTTGTATTTCGAGCGGTTGGAATTCTTCGCGGAGCTGACGGCAGGTATGGATTAGGCCAATGGCTGTACGTGGAGTGTAATAGCGTCTCGAGGGCGTCAGCGGTATCTGATTTGCTGTCGGTATTGAGAATCGCATGAATCGCCGTCGGACGGTTAGGTATTCGTATATCTCATTACGGATTTCTGTGAAGGATGTTATCAGCAATCCTCAAAACAGCATTTGAATACTAACCTCCCGGCAGCTGAAGTAGACGTGATTGAGGCTGTGTAATAGGTGATGTCATCTTGTAACTTTGGCTTCTGGTTGAGAATTGGGGTTGTTCTTATGAGGTTGAGCGAGGAGGGAGAGGAGCCAAGCCTTAAGTACCTGGGGATCAAATAGAGAAGCATCATTGAATGGCCGCTGATATACGATGCAGGTGGTGAATGTAGCTTTTGACTTTCACAGTACCTTCCTCATGCTTCCCTTAGGATCTTGAAAAAGCCGCACACCGGGTCCGTGCGTGTCCGATAGTAGGGACCGTGAAGGCATCTGGAGCCTATACCAAAATTAAAACATATAAAGTAGGTGAATCAACGTTAACGTAGGGTCTTTGCATCTTTTACCATAGTACTGCGATGACCTAGAGGCGACCTAGAGACGACGAGCCAACTACACCTCCCGCATTTCATACGACTTATACGCGAGGAGGCACTCTACGAAAGAGAGAAGTATCGCATCTCCAAGAATCTCTTTGCATCTTTTGTATGTCTATTAATTGAAGTTTGCGGATTTCCCCATTTGTGAGAGCATATTTTCGTCTAGGTAGTCGATCTTGCGAAAGTGGGAAGTGGCCAGTCTCGCTCTGCGTCAACGCAGTACCATGATTGACTATGCCCATTGGACGTCGTCTCCTTCACCGCCAAGCTTGTCAATACTTATCTTTTCAAGGCCATCCTCTTCAGCGTTGAGCTCTTCAACGTCGATTCAAAGCTTCCAATCCTCCGGCTAAGCAGACACGCGAGTCTGACCGAACACGTAGCGGGAATGATCACAACCGTCGACGAGATCCACTTCCTTCGCCCACGTCAACAGCTCATCGCTCCCGGGAAAAGGATCACTGATTCCAGGATCTAGCGAAGATTCGAAGGCCAGCACCTTGAATTCAAGTATGATCTCGCAGTAGGGTAGTTCCATGCGAAAGACAAGTCGAGTGCCTGACGGAATTATGAAGTACTCCCAGGCCCATTGCGGTCGTATCTTTGCCTTTGGTTTGGGTGTCCTCGTGGTTCGAGCTCTGATACGGAAGTCTAGGAGTTGACCGGGGAACTTGCTAATGAAGTAAAGCGGGTCGAGCGCCCCGAGGTAGTCGTGGGACCCGGAATCGATCTCATAAATTACATCTCTGTAACCGTAACCATCGAGCGTGTCTTTGAGACCATAGATACAATCAGAGAAATCTAAGTTCGTGATATTGGTGCAATGAGGCATACTCATCAGGAATATCGGAAGAAGTTCGCGGCGGAGAAGTTGACAGGTCTGCGTAAGGCCGAGCGCAAGGGGGCGAGAGCTTTGCCAGTAGACTTCGCGAGACTCTCTCTTTGCTCCAGATTTTGATGAAATCTTGCGCGGATATAAGCGCAAAGGTATGGCTGTAATCGAAGCGAAACTCGATGGATCTGAGAAACGAGCCACATGTACTGTCAACTGCAAAGCTTATTAGTACATATACCACATTGCTTTGGACCTGGGATGCGCCACGCACGATTTTTGGGTTCGAGACATCGATGAGATAGCCGTAAATTCGATTGCGCAACTCTGTGGTCACCGTTAGCGATAAATCTTCGACCTTGGAATGCAATGTTTACCTCCAGGTAGCTCAAGAAGGCGACTTCTCGGCGCAGATGTCGCGCCGTTACTTTCGGGTGCTGAGTCTACCATTTTCGCGACAGTCGCAGTATCCTCCGTTCGCGCTCGTAAGGAGAGGAGTTGCGTATCCCCAAGTGGAAATACGAGGCGGATGTAACGCGCGGTAAAGGCGAGCGCGCTATCCCGATTAGGCAACGGCGGAGAGTCGGATGATGAGTCAGCAGATCGCGCAAACCGTTGCTCATCTGCGCAAACGCCTTCATTTCTATTTCACCCCTCGGATGTGGCAGAGAATACCCAATCTTCGGAGCTAACAGTCAAACTTCGTTGGGTACTTCTACATATTGTCTGTGGGCTCATTCACAATCGCATTTACGCAGTGACCGTGAGTCGGGCGCAACTAATGACGCGCTGTCCGTGCTAGCCTTCTTCACGGATATAATTCTTATCGATTTTCCACATCTTCAGGCTCACAAACGAGCAGAGTTCCCCATCTGTTTCCAGCCGACTCCACAGGGAGTAGAAGAACATACCACCCCAGTCAAGCACACTGTGCGAGATGCGGTGCTACATCTTGGAGCTGCCCGGAGGTATGTATCGTCCACTGCAAGTCTTGATCGAAGAATATGCTAACAACTTGGACAATTGAAGAGCTCCGCAATCACATCTACACCCACGTTATCGATGGAAGCCCGAAAGAGGTTCGACTGATACCTCCGCCTTACCCGTTGTGCAGGTTCAGCAGGACGCCAAATCGGATACTAGGCTGGTCACGACTTCGACGGCAGGCTCTCGGTCTTACTCAAGTTTGTCGCCTTCTCCGGAACGAGTTCCTTCCCATGCACCGCCAATGCATTCCCGCATATGTTCCTGACGTCGCCACCTTGGCAAAATTTGTGGCCATATCTTTCCCCCTACTTGAGAAAGCACATGGCACAGTGATACTGAGTCCATTGAAGAAAAGACCCGTCCATATCGACCTCGCTCCTTTAATTCGACTGCTGTTGACTGCGCCCGAGCTGACGATCAAACTTGAGAAGTTTTTTGAGAAGGACATAGTCTGCCTCAGAAGCCTCATTGACGTACGATCCAATGACGCTTGGAGACATTTCTTCGAGCGAGCTGTCACATCCGTTGTCTATGTTGCTCCTCGGACTTTCAGCGATCCCCAATTGCGTTTAGAGATCACACGTTCAGCGGTAGAACCGTGGATGGCTTGGAAGCCAAACGAAACCGTCAACAGTCCAATTCGAAGCCAAAGCTCTGCAGTCTGTAGCTATGTTGAGGACTGGGTGCAGAGAATCGGCCTTGGGGATATTGGGATACGACCACACCGAATCAGTATCAGTGTTGGGCACATACATCTACACGACGCCGGCTCAACCCGCGATCTCCCCTAGCGAGCCGAACATAATGGTGGAGTGGGTGGAAGTACATACTGTTGAAGATGATGTTTGACTCGACAAGCTTGCATCGCCGACGACACTGCAACAGTGGCCTCGATCCACGGGCCGAACAGCCTGGGCGAAGATTTGTGATTAGTCTTGGGAAGGTTGGTATACGAGCAATTTACGGTTCTTCATTGTACAACGACAAACAGTAATAACGGTTATGTACCCCCATGTCATTTAGTCCGTTTCGTCCATACTCTCCCAGGATGAGGCTACCACTCAAAGATCTTTGTTGAGATACTCCACAGGCCCAACATACACCTTGCGCCCCTTGAGAAAGAAGTAAACAAGAGAGAATACCACGACAACGCCGTAGATGAGGATATTCCAGTTCATCAGATCAGGTGTTGGGTGCGGGAATGTGGGGAAGAAGGCGAACACCAACACTACACACAGATACACAACAGACACGCCATTGACCCAGATACCAGCGCGACCGAGCGAGAACTTGCATGGTAGGAGGGGTTCTTTGTTCCACCTCTTGATGAACATGCATGAGATACTGACGATGTAGGACGAGAGGAGAGCACACGTGCCCAGCGATGCGACGGAGTTGAATGCCACGGTGCTGCCGATGTTGATGAGGGAGAGACCAATGGCAATACCGAAAGACACAAGAACACTGTTGAGAGGGATATCCCAGCCTGGTCGGACTCGGGATAGGAAGGCACTGAATGGAACGCCGTGGTCGCGAGCAAAGGCGAAGAGCTGGCGCGAGCATGTTGCCACATTGTTGACGCATCCAAATACGGCCATGATAGTCGTGATCGATGCCAGAGCTGTAGCCCCTGGAATGGACTGCGTAGCGTTGTACATGATCTGGATGTGGGGCTGCCCGGTCGGCGACATGATGGCGCTTTCGACGTCGCCGAGGCAGAAGCAGAAGGTTACTAGCATGAGGAAACCCAAACTGCTGTTAACGACTGCTGTCCAGATCATGGCGCGAGGAAGTGTGTGCGATGCGTCCTTCAACTCTTCGGA